CACAGAAATTAAATTTTAAACCAAAGCATGGAAATAAAGTAACAATTTAAAAAAATCTGTAGCAGAGACTTTGAGACATAAAAATAAAGACAAACAGAAAACAAAATTAATTCATAGCATATACAAAATCACTGCTCTCAAGATAAAAGTACAAAGATGCCACTTGCAAGGATGACTTCTAGAGGGCAGTAAGTGACATCTAGAAACTGCCCTGGGCTGAGAAAGGAATACACCGAAGGGTGAATTAAACATTATGAGTGGGAAATTAATGAATTAGGAGGAAAACTGGGAACCAAATTTCCAAGCTTCAAAACTGCTGCAGGTAACCCACTCCAAAAGTCTGGGCCCCATGAGGAGCCACTAGTTGTAAATTCACACTGAATACAGGAACTTAAATTCACCAGGGACTTAAAGGCCCAAGGTGCCTTACTTTGCACCTTGCAAATTAAAAGAAAGCTCTGCAAAGAGTGTGCTAGGTCTGAAAGAAACAGATTGTCATTACTCTTCCTAGTCACCCACTAAAACCCCCTCTAATTATCCTGCTTTGTACCCCGTAAAACCACCCACAGATAGCAATTATTAATAATTTCCTGGAGAAGCTTGTGTCCCAATTGCATGGCTGAAGCCTTAGCAGCAGCTCAGCACTAGACTCGGCCTTGCCGTCTCTGAACGCAGCAGACTCAAGAGGAGACAATTGCTCTGTGGATTAAACGAGCCTCTGAAATAAATGCTTTATGCCCCGTGCTGTGGCTATGCTAACAGCTCTGTGATGGCTTCTGCCTGTGTTCTGCCTGGAGACTCCAGTTCTTCCAGCTCCCACTGCAGCCGAGGCTGCCGTGTGCACTCACCCTCATTCACCATGGGCATTCCAGCAGCCGAGTACTCCAGATGGTGAGAGCCACCTGTCAGTCAAACACTATGGAGAGACTCAAACTTTACCAATAGAGCATTATTAGTAAAATAAGTGCTCAAGTGCTTTGGCTGTCTCCTCACTCTGTTTTCAAATTATACCTTTTACCTGTTTTCCTTTCTTTTAATGTTTATCTATTTGGGGTGTGTGTGTGTGTGTGTGTGTGTGTGTGTGTGTGTGTGTGCGTGTGTGGGGAGGCGCGCGGTGTGTGTGTGTCTGTGTGTGTGTGTCTGTGTGTGTTCTCGAGCACACACAAGCTCCAGGATTTACACTGAGAAGTCAGGAAACAACTCTGGAGACTCTTCTTTCCTCCTGCTACATGGCCTCTGGGGTTAGACCTCAGGTCATCAGGCTTGGTGACAAGTGTCTTAATCAGCTTAGCCAGAGTGCCTTCCCAATGCCTGTATTTTAGCCATTTCCACAGTAGTGATTGTGACTACACACAGAAGCCAGGAATACCAATTTTTGTGTATTTGGAATATTATTTTTAAAAGCAATTACTACAAATGGCATATGCATTTGAAAATACCAATAAACATTTAATCTTAGTTCACTATGCTCAAAATCTGTTTTTCTTTCATGAATGTAAACAGCAAGTATCACAGTGCCGCTTCAATTAAGGTATATGCTCAAAACAATTGACTTACAAGAGGCTTCTTTGAAATTACAGTCATACAATTCAGCCAAACTTGCCGTTCCACCAGCCAGCAGACTGTGCAGGAAATCTCTGGCAAGTACATAACAATCAAGCCCTAGCATGCTCACTGTTTACACATAGTCACTGTTCACACATACAGTTCACACATGTTCCTGGTCGCAGTTCTCCCGTCCCAGTCTACATAGTCTAACACTATAGATCCCATAGGAGACTGGTAGTCTACACTTTAAATTCACAGAAAGTTAAGAGAGCTACAAACAATTAGAAATAATAGTGCTGGAAGCAAACAAATGAACAGTGGCGGGAAGTAACAGGAGAGATAGAACAAAAGATCCAAAATACAAGAGAAGCAAGCCAAACTCAGTTCCACTGGCATCTGTCGAGGTAGTAACACATTGTTCTAAATTAGGAAAATGTCATTCTAGTACTAAGAATATGTCAAAAAAGAGGAATGTGTCAAATAATACACAATTTTAGAGGGATGAATAAAATAAGTCAAAATATTAAATTATTTATCAAAATATTCAGTTATATTTGAGTAATTCCTTACCTAGCCAGAAATCTGAATATATGTTCTGAGGTCAGAAGAAAAACCAGCCCTAAACCTGTCCTCACCCCACAGAACCCTTTTCAGTAAACAAAGAAGATGCTACAATGAATAGTGACACAAAACAGACACTTCGCTGTACCCTTGAATGTGGTGCACCTGACAAAAATCCGCCTGAGGGAGAGTGTGAAGGCAGGAGAGTAACTAGCCGACACAGGAGAAATCTGACAGACCAATGAGCTAGGTGATCTTCACTCATGTACTCAACAGTGTCACACCAGAAAACTGTTCATGTACTTGATGTGAGACTGGCCTTCATGGGTTCTCACAGTCCCACAATCTCAGTCTACCCCTAAGAAAAACACCATACACATGAAGACTGAGGACAACCCACCAAAACATCTGACTCTTGCTTTTCAATACCCTTGGCAAGGCAAGTGGATTTAACTGTATCCTGGCCTGGACCGTGGATCAGGTCACCCTGGAATACCAGAGAAAAGACAAGAAGGAGAAGCTAGTAAACACCAGTGTGCAGGGGCTAGAGAGATGGCTCCTGGTTAAAAGCATGCATTGTTCTTCCAAAGGACCCAGGTTTACTCCCAGCATGCACTGGGGTAGCTCACTACTGCCTGTAACTTAAGGTCCAGGTGATCTGACGCCCTCTTCTGACCTCCACAGGCACCTGCACTCACATGCACATACCCACTGTGATGGCTATTCTTGGCTGTCCGCTTGTCTGTATCTGGGGTGAACTACAATCCAGAAATGGAGGGTACACCTATGATCCAGAACTTAAGGCAGGAAGACACAGGCTCTGATCCAGATCTTGCAGTGGGAAGACACACCTTTAATCTAGGCCACACTTCTGCTAGATGCCTATATAAGGACAATAGAAAAAGAAAGGCTTCCTTCTTCTCTGCCTGCATGCTCTTGCCTTGTCAGCACATCCATTCCTTCACTGGCACTGGAGCCTACTTCTTCAGGATTCCAGCACACAGAGAAGACCAGCTGAGACACCCAGTCTTGTGAGGCTGAGAAGCTACTAGATTCTTGGACTTTCCATTCACAGCTACCCATTGTTGGATTAGTTGGACTGCAGTCTGTAAATCATTTCAACATATTCCTGTTAAATAGAGAGATGCATTCCATAATTTCTGTGACTCTAGAGAGCCCTGACTAATACACACACACACACACACACACACACACACACACACACACACACACACACACACACACACTAAAAAACTTTAAATAAAAACAATTTTAAAAAATCCATTGTGCAGATTAGTTCATAGTAAGACATTATGCTAGTCCATTGGTTGTGACAAATGAACCACATTAAAGTACGATATTAACAACAGAGGACTTGGTGGGACAGAGGAAAACAGGAAGTCTATACTATCTACGCATAAATCTAAAATGCAAATCTTACTTAAAATAAAAATAATGGCTTCCCTGGGAGATAGTAGTTGGAGGTAAGGTTTGACTATAGAAATAACCTCCAGATCTACGAAGACCAAAAACAAGAATCAAGAAATTTTAACCATGTTATCCACCTAATCCTGTCTCCCCCCATCCCTAAATGTACATACATTCCAACAAGATGCTGTTATGATTCGATTCAATTATAATCAGAAATTCCCTACCCTGACTCAAAAAATTTAATTAAGACCAAATTGTAGATACCTAAAAGTATTGCCCAAAATACACATTTTACACTGCAAGATGACCAATGGTGCCACGATGAAAGCAGATCTGACCAAAAAACTTCAGAAGCAAAAATGCAGCACTTCAGATCAGTTCAGATTCAAAAACCAAAGGGTTTACACATACACATGAATATATACATCTAAATATTATTTTAATCAGTGACTTCCTCAAACAAAATTTTGAGAGACAGAATTTAAGTGAAAAAACCTTTGTCTACTTCCTTTAGACCTGCGATAGTGTGTCATTAACCTTAGATTTCATACTGAGTAGAATACCTATAGACTTTTCACAGCAAAGTTTGATGCTACTCTGGCCATGTGCTCTGATCATTTTTACAAAATGGCCACAGGCCACTCAGCAACACAAAAACAATAGCTGGCCTAGTTTAATGATACATACCAGTTCCTGGAATGGAAGTAAGATATGGTGTCACACTGTTGAACAGTGTCCCCAACCCCCTGCAAAGTCATACTTGAAATTCCTAACTCCAGCAACTCAGAGAATAACTTTCATGGGGCTGGAGTCACTGAAGATAACGGACTTAAGATAAAGTCACCCACTGAAGTATGGTAGGTCAGTAACTGCCCATGACTGGTGTCCATATACAAAGGAGATGCTTATACAGAGAGATGGACAAACACACACAGCAAGAACACCTTGGCCATGAAAGCAGAGACTGTAGTGAAAGGTATGTACAAGTCATGACCTTCCACAA